AGAAAAGCCTTTCTAGCATTTTCTTCCTCTAACCGACGTTCCAGTTCTTTATCTCGGTCAGCTTGCAGGGACGCAAGATACTCATCATCCTGCACGATGAAGAAGCTCAATAAATTTAAGCATCACCAATGACCCTCGATAAAATAAAGGGGTTTAGTCAAGCTACTGGGTAAGAGTTGCCTAACCTGCTGTTCTCGTATCAACCTCTGAGCTGTCAATGAAGGTGAGGGTGGACGTGGTGCTGCCCTCTGCTGAGGAGGTAAGAATGGAAGATGATTATATCCAGTTTCAGGAATGCCACCAAACATGGCTGCCTCAAGCATGACAGCTTCATCATGTTCCTCAGAAGAAATGCCTCCCCACTTGAACATACAGAAAAAGAGTATCAGTAACGGCATGGACTAGCTACTCTAGGATTCTCAACTGTGTAAAGTAATACAGGTATTCTAGTCTGGTCTCGGTGTCAGAAACTAAACAGATTTTATTGGTACCTCAGAAGGAAACCCATTGCCAATATCTGCTGGATTATCATCTCCTTCAGGACTTCTGCTCCGGGAACGGTCATCGTTTGGTGGGGCCAGAGATCCAGACGCTGCACGTCTTGGCCTGTGTCTAACAAGAGGTTGCTCATCAACATCATCAGAGTCATCCTCAAATGGTGAGCTAGGTGCTGCCAATCTACAATATAAAAGACAATTTGTTAGGCCTCGATTTTTGACAAACACCAGTAGACAAACCGCTTGAAATAAGTTTTTGCAACCAGAGATATTAAGCTCAGAGTTAAAACAGTAGTAAAACGTTACAGAAAATAACCAACAAACCTTCCGTTTAGGTCTTGGGTATCCTGGAGTCCTTGAGAAGCAGCCATTTCGGAAGTTCTTATTTCTGAGGTTGAGGCTCTATACCCTTGATTACGCAAAACTTCTTCCTCCGCTGACTGCACTCACTTATGTTAAAAGATATCTCTAAGGAAGATGGAAAAGAAATTAAAAAGAGAGAGGAGACAACCACAGACCTTCAATGACATTGTGACAGCTTTTGCTATGTCATCATCACCTTCCATGTGAGACGGCCTCGCTTCAGGCAAAGGATCATTTATTCCCTATAAAAAATTCAAAAAGCCCGTATGTTTTTCTAAATCACTAAGCCAAAATAAACAAGCAGACAAACCCAAATACTGCGCATGCTCTTAGAAAAGCTTACCTCAGCCTCCTTTTTTGAGGCCTCAATGGCAGCTCGGATCATTTCTTCTTCAATATCATTGTAATCTTGAATATTATTAGGTGCAGAATCGGCAGGTCTCCTTGTTGGTGCAAATGGAATATCATCATCACTCTCTTCATCTATAATAACCGCCCCTTGAGTAGCTGGACCCTGAACATGTTCTGTTTCTGTCACATCCTCGATAGTAGGAGCATCACTAGACCGTTCTGATGGCCCACTGCTATCCTTAACCTCTATGGGAATCTGCCTAACCTCTCTGGGATGACTAACAAATGAAGGTGGGCGAGGCATAAGGGGATCGTTTTCAAATATACTTCTACCAAAGTTTGAATCCAGAAGCGAAAAGGGGGTTCCCATTGTTCTAGCTGCAGTGAGAAGAGACAGAGGAGATTCTATCTGTGTGGCCGGAATCACATCATCTATATCCATAGCATCGTCCTGAGGGACATTCACAGGTGCTTCACGTACTCTGCACAAAGATCATAAGAACGTACCACAAACACAAAAAGATGATAAATTTGCAGATGAAAAAGATAATCAATAGGTGGAAAATCATGAGTGAGATAGATGGCATACACATTTCGATCTCCCTCGCCGAAATATGC